TGCCTTAATACTTTTGCTAGTTTGTTTCTCGACTTCAAACCTAAATTTTTTGAACTTTTCAAAGGCTTCGATTTGTGTCGCATAAGATACATATAATAAAACACGATCTATCATTGATAAAGGTTATAAAATAATCATATCCTCCTCTAGCTCAGGTGGACATGGGCCCACATACATCACTATGTATGAGGCCTAACAAATTAATAGCTTTTTCACATTTTTCACTAAAAGGGGATTTTGTCATTTTGCCAAGCAAACAAGATTTGTAGACATCATAAGATTCATAATAAATGATTTTAAATATCAATTTTTATGTAGCTTCGATATGCGATTTTTGTTTATATGGTCAAGTCGACAATGCCACATATATGTTTTGTTTAGATTATTAGTTTTGAGTCTTTTTGCATTTATGCTATACACATGTGTGTCTATGTTCAAAACATATAAATCATTATTCACATCATCACTTCCATATAAAACATTATCTTTATAAAAGGAACAACTCTTGGTTTTAAATAAAAACAAAAAACCATCTTAGTCCAAACAAGATATAGAAATGATATTCCTAGTTATACTATAAATATAATAATAGTTTCTAAGTATAAGCATAAGTCCGGATGGTAGTGCTAACACGTAGGTGCTTACCAATAATGGTACAACTCTTGAACCATTACCCACGTGTAGGTCAACCTAACCGAAGCGGACTTTCTAGCCTCTTTTAGTCCTCTTAAGTTTGTGCAAATATATGCACTACATCCGAGTATCAAATACCCATGATGTTGGACTAGAAATAGAAAAATTTACTTCAATAACATGATACTTAAGGTGCATCGAGAACTCTTCTCTTGTATCCCTTCATAGTACTCCTTATCATCTATTGCATAGAGCATTTTCCCATGTTGGAGGACATTCCTCTCATTCAATTTTCATTCAAAGAAGTTTAGGTCATTTAAGGCATTCCTTCCATTAAGCATCGATCTCATCGATGTATTATCGATCATACTTGTACAACAACCTTGACAAGAAAGAAAAAATATAATTTGGTTAATTAAATTACATAAAATAAAGCATAAATTAAAGAAGTAAAATCTATGTTTTCTCTCACTATTTTCTTTAAGTTCTATAACCTTCAATATAGGACTTGAGAAAACTTTTTGATTCGTTTTCCTAGTGGGTTAGGATCCCATCCTCTAACATGCATTAGCCTTCATTTATCTCAACAACCCATACATGAAGGATTAGGTAGGTAACTCCTTATCAATTACATCTAATGTAATTTCTAATTTCATTGGTATGACAACTTCTTCTCTTTATCACATCTTATGTGAATACCAATCCTTGCTTATAAGTTTATTGGACCTTGAGTTATCTCAACAAATCCAATAACTCATTTAAGTTTAAACCAACATTCGGAGACATCACATGGCCCATGATTTATTTCCCTCGAACAAGAACTCGACCTTGAGTTATCTCAATACGCCAATAAGAACAAAGAGAGTTCCTATCTCATAACGTTGAAAAGTAATTAACTTAATAGTTAATTTGAAGGATTTAATATGGTTGGTCTCATCCAAGCATGCATACTAAACAATAATCACATTATTCCTAATAATGCATACTAGCATTTATCTCACCACATTCATACATCTCATGCATGACTCAAGGACCGATGAATGACAATGGATTTCTAATACTAGCCCTTTCGAGCCACAAAGAGACTAGTGGGTCAATTCCTAGGTGAAAAATTATTACAAATTCTTCATGAATGTCTTCATTCCTTGATGTCTTCTCCCCGTATCTATTCTAATTCTTATATTCTATTTTTATATTTACTCGAAATAAAAAACCTTGAGTTACATTCGAGGGGAGTAAGATGAGAAAAGAAATATAATAGAGTAATAAAGAAGGTAGGACACAAAGGTCCTATTTACCTAAAAAATAACAAGTGTTCATTCATAAATTTAGGTCGACTCATCCATACCATTCACTTATGTTTCAATCACATTGATACATGGCATAGTAATAAAAAATTTCATTCATAAAATGATTATAAATCTATAGTTTTGGGCATTTTATAAATTTATTAAAATTTCTATAAATTTTAATTTTGAAAATTTTTTGGGCCTTGGGCCTACAAGCTTTTAGGCCTTGAAGGTTCATGGGTTTCGAAGCCTAAACCCTTATGTTTGCATGCGTCTACCTATAGCCATCAATCTAGCGTGGAAGTGCCTAGCCGGTGACCTACTCGTGTTGCCTACGCGATGGTTGGCTAGCCATTACGAGTGCATCTAGCACACGGGCCGGCGAGCCTACTATGCGCCTAGCAAGTTGCCTAGCCCGCACACCTAGCGTGTGGCCCGATAGACCAACAACTTTGTCGACCGTACGCTTAGCGAGCGGCTCGTAGGCTAGCGACCTTACCTACTAAGAGCCTAGCACATGACATAACGAGCCGGCGGCACTGCTTGCTGTAAGTCGCTGGCGATAAGGCCGCCATGCACGTGAGTGTGGACATCCAACGTTGACCTCGTATGCTTTTACCGATTTTGACCAAAAATTTCGGTTACCTATTTATATAAAACACCAAAAACACAAGATTTATAATCATAAATAGCTACTTCATGGAGTTAATCATAATTAACCACCATACAATCAAAGATTCAATAGAGGCTCTAATACCAATTGAAGGATCATGCATCATATGGAGGTGTGAAATAAATTTTTTTCCTTCATTTAAGGCCCTAAGATCAAGTCGTTAAATCTATTAACCATAAATACATGAATAATAAGCTATAAGTAAAGGATTATCTCTTGTAGCATAGATCTAAATTCCTTTTCAGCAAAGTCGTCCAAGTGTCCAGCCTCTATTGATGATCCACATAGTTGAAGTATCCCCAAAGAAGCACTCAAAATCAATAAGGTGCTAACTCCACCTTTTCTAACTTAGTATTTCCTCTAGAAAATTAATCTCAAGTAATTTAACGATAACCTTAAAAGGGGAGGAAAGAGTATGGCTTTCTAGCATTTAGGAGAAAACTATTTTCCTATATTTTTTATCTTGGCCATGTGCCCTAACTAATTTTTAAGGCTGGTAAAAAATCTCCCAATTCTCTCTCTTTTTATGCTTGGCCGAATATGCTCTTTTCCATTAACCCCTTTATGCCGCACCTCTCCTCCTATTTATGGGGGAGAGTTTCCTTGTCCTCCAAGGACAAGGAAAAGGACGGCCTCAAGTCCCTATTAGGACTCTAGCTTATTGCTTCCTTATCCTTCAAGGTTAAGGAATTACTTTATATGTGGACTATTTGATTATTATCTTTAAAACATTCAAACTTATTTAATAAGGTTAATGTTTATCTTTAAAATATTCAACTTTATCCAATAAGGTTGATGTTTATCCTCAAATCAAAATTATCTCAAAGCTCTTAATTTAATCTAATGACCCAAAACTATTTTAGCCCAATTAATTTATTTGGACTATCCAAATCCACATTAGAAAATAATTTTCTAAAATACCCTTTAACCTAAATTAAGAAACTCCTTTTCTTTTAGGTTCTTTATTTCTAAATTTGAAACTAACTTCCAAATTAGGAAATCGATTTCTAAAATAAAAAAATTTCATTTTGGAAAACTTTCCATTTTGGTAACTCTTTCCAATTTGGAAAACTTTTATAATTGGAAACCTTTTCTAATATCTTTGCTTCGATTTATAATGTGAATATATTAACTTATGCGTGTGACTCAATAGGCTCCTAGATATACTCGGTAATGTATTAAGAATAAAAGACTCTTATTTTATCTCTTGATACATAAATCAAAATTAGCCTCTAATAAGGTATCATGACTATCCAATTCTCTAGGAGGATTAGTTAATCCATTATTATCTTTCACGAGCATGGTTCCTATATAATTCAGTCCTCATGTCAACTTATCATGGTGTGATCTCAAACTTAGCTATTAGTTTTGTTCGATTATATCACATAAGTTTTTTTTCGATTCCTCAAATGTCTTATCTCTTAGAGTAAACCAAGCTGTGCTTTATTGGTGTACTCCTACTATGACCATAGTTTTCTTGAGTAGACATTTATCGAAGTGCAATATGATAACTAGTTTAGCATACAAGAAATGAAATGTTCTATCTTAGTCGTACACCTATCTCCATTAAATTTCTAGTGCACCTAACAAATTGCCCATTTGTAACCCATTAATGGGTCCATCGAAACGAGTGTTAAAGTGCATAAATCATTTAATGAGATAACCATGATGACTTTAAGTCTAAGGACCATTTGTACCCATCTTGTATGAGATTTTCATAGACTAAAACCAAATGGGTTCTCATGCCAAGTCAAGTCCGATAATATGTTCTCTCGAAAAAAATCACCTAAGTGCTTGTTTTGGCATACCATGCCAATAGGTATGAGATCTTCTATCTGCTATCATATAGCATCGGCAAACACTCATAAGTCTCGTCCATATATTATCAATGTTCATTCTTGACAATACTACGACTTGGGACATTTAATGATATCATTTATGTGTATTAGTGTTTGTCTCACATCTTTCAATCAATCACTATTACAAATGCATATCACAAGGACTTCTATATAATTCTATTAAGTTTATCAATATGTAAACATAAAAATTTTAAAAATGACTTCTTTATTATTATCAAAATAAATAAAACAATGATACATTAACTCGAGTTCATCCTTACATGGTTGGACCTTGGGTACCTACACTAACGAGTTAGTTCGTTGAATTAGGATCCGCTTACATACTTTTCAACCATGATGGAGACCGATATTCGATCAACCAAGGAGGAAAGATAACTAAGAGCGAGTGGCTATTAGATCTAGAGTGATTGGCAATCGATGTTTAGTGATGATCGGATCTTAAGTGGCTATTGGTTGTGGTGACTCGCTGGGCGTACGAGGCTTTGGGTGAGCTATGTGCAAAGGCTACCGGTGTAGGGGGAGAGGCCTAGTGTGGATGAGAGCTACGGGCATGGGTAGCCTCGTGCGAGAGGAGAGCTTGACGTAGGTGAGGTGCTAAATGTGCGGGTGTGTGTCGAGGCTCAAACGGGCGAGGCACTTGGAGGGGTGCATGCACATTGTGTCCGGCGCTAGGTTGTGCGTGCACGTTGGCTTGGAGGAAGTGTGCACGCAAGCACCGATAAGTAGGGGTTCGTTGCACGCCTGGGGTACCCAGCACTTGCGTGTTGTTGTTAGGTGAGAGAGGTGCTATTGGTGTGGTGTGTTGTGGCTAGAGGCATGAACACAATAGGTACTATAGCTAGGAGGCGTGTGCACACTCGGGTGTTAGAGGCTCGGGGTATGGCTAGGGCATGTTGTGTTACGTGAGGGATGATTGTGGCTTGTGTGGGCGGATGGCATAGGCGGTAGGATGAGAGAAGGTCGTGTGTGTGGGTGGCTAGAGTGCTTTGGGTATGGGAGAGCTTGCGGCTAGGGTAAATTTCTTAAAGATGATGAATAGTAGATGCCAATTTTAAGAGAATAAGGTGTTTTTATATTGGTCCTTCAAGGTTTTTAACCAACATTTAGTTTGTTCTATTATTTTGTAAACCCATTTTATTTTGATCCTTTTTGCTCCTCTCCTTTTTAATTGCAACCCCAATTGTATTTTTTTACTCCCTTTTCTTTTTATTTTTTTATTTATCTCTTTTTTTCTTTTTTCTTTTTTTGGAAGAAATTAGGTGCTAACAATAGTCAATAAATATAATGATGAACCTATGTATATACTCATAGAATACTCGAATCATCGGATCCATAAATATGATGGGAGCATTGGTTAACTCTGAATGACATTACTAAATATTCGTAATGCCCGTATCAAGTTATGAACATTGTCTTCTTTATATCCTCCTCGTTAATTTTCAATTGGTGATATCTTGATTGAAGGTTAATTTTAGAAAACACCGAGCCTCCCTTTAGTTGGTTAAACAAATCATCGATCCATGAAAACGAGATACTTATTCTTAATAGTCACTCGGTTCAAATCTCTATAATCAATACATAACCGAAGTGACTCATCTTTCTTCTTGAAATATAGCACCGAGGCTCCCCACAATGATCGACTAGGTCAAGTATAGCCTTTATTCAACAACTCCCGTATTTGTGTTTTAAGCTTTTGCAATTCTGCTAGAGCCATCCGATAGGGTGCCTTCGATATCTATGCCGTCCCCGACTCCAATTTGATCTCAAAGTCAATTGCCCTCTTCGGATGTAATCCCAACATAGTCTCGAGAAAAACATTCATGAATTCTCTAACTACTTCAATAGCTTCTAATTTTTTACTTCCCTTCTTTTTGATATCAACCATATTCACTAAATAGCATTTGCATCCATCTTTTATAAAATTTTAGGTTGTCATAGGCGACAATAAGGGTTACAAGCCTCATCCGGGTCACCGCATGCAACTCAATAAGTTACCCATTTAATGGGTGAAATACCACATTTTTACTCGGGCAATTAATCAATGACCTATTCTTAGATAGGAAGTCTAGATAGGAATTCTATGTTTAGAATAACATCAAATTCTCGAATGCTTCAACTCTAAGGCCTCGGAGGAAGTGTTCCTTCTTCTTTTCCTCATTTTCAACAATGAAAGTAGCATAAAAGCAATTATGCTCGAACTTACGTATATATTTCATAACCGACATATCTCCTTACCTAAGCTAGAGGAATTCTTGAATTTTATAGGACTTCATGATTTCGGAGAATTATTTCTCATTAAACGAGTCCTTAAACTAGCTCCATGTAAGTCCCCCTTCATTTAGCAATGCTTTTACTATTTCCCACCAATTACGTGTATCGGCGAGTCAACGTAATGGTGGCATATGCTACCCATTTTGCATCACTCATATCTAGGTATTCAAAAATAACCTCCAATGATTTTAACCATTCCTCCATTAGATTAGGGTTCGGTCCACCCCTAAATTCCTTCGGCTTAAACCTTTGGAATCGCTCAACTATTTTGTTTTTTTGTGGTTGATGGGTTTACGTTAGACATCCTTCTAAGATCCGTTGCATTTACTCCTCATATCTCTCCTATTTTCATTTCCATCATCTCCTGCTACCTCCTAAGTAGCTCCATCAACTCTCATTCTCGGTCACCCGATACTCGACTCAACTTCGCATTATTACTAGTGTATGTGCATGTATAAAATGTTGATTTATACATCGGTAATTTTTTTTCTCATGTCATAAAATATTTCATAAATAGTCTGAAAATTCATTTTTTCTCTTTGGACATGTCTCATTTAGGTACTTTAGGGTTTCCATAAATATGTTTGGCAAACTAGACTCGTCCATGGACATGCCTTACAAAGCTTCTAAAAATGCATGTTTGTACTTACCTAGCCTTAAACTAATACCATTACCATGTGGAAAATCCATAAGTCCTTTCCTCATAAAATCCTCAAGCCATGAAAAGCCATAGCCTATAAAACATTTCGATCTCTATCGAAAGACCATGACGTAATACATGTTTTCATGACTTAAAAACACCTTTTATGAAATTTGGCATGCTTAGGCATTTTAAGTGAAAATGCATAACTAACATTGAAATATAATTTGCATGCCCTAAATGATCATGTAGCTATTTCAAGGTAATATATAAAATTAACAACATAAATGGCATTAATAACATTACCTCATGTAAACCATTCCAATTATCACATCCCATACAACATCATTCAACCACATAACACTACTATCATTCACATTATGTCACATCCATCACATACATTGAAAATACATCAAGAGAACATAAATATGCATAAAATGACACAAAAAAAACCAAGGTTCCATATTTTCTCCTTTTTAACCAAAATTTACCTTAGTGACCTAACCACTTTCTTTTAATTTCTAACACCCAATTCACATCAATTATACTCTAACTTAATTAAATTACTTTATTTATGTATTATCTAACTAGTTATACTTATTAATTTCCTATTGGGCCTTATTAGGCCCAATTTCCAATCAGACAAATGTTTGGCTCCTATTAAATTTTTAAATCCTCATCAATCTTATTACATTATTCTAGCTCTAAATTAATCATTTTAAGGGTAAAAGACCATTTAAAACTAAAACCCAAGTTTCCCCATTTTAGGCCGAATGTCCTCTTAGTTTAAACCCTATGATTTTCTTCTCATTTAATCCTAACATTTTAATACCAAGTAGCCTAAACACATATTAAACATAGGAATCTATTTAATTAGCATTTAGTGTACAAATTCATGCTCAAACTTGAATTGGACCTTAATGGGTCAAAATTGGGCCTAAGTTTATTTAACCAATTTTCTTCATTCTTTTTCAAATTTTGCATTCCAGCACATCAAATAACACTCATCCAGGTTCAAATCAACCAACAATTCTAGAATTGAGTGATTGAAACTCAAACCCTAAAATTCACATTTTAGTTCAAATATACCCTAAAAATTTTAATGGATTTTTCTTCAATTAAAGTGAGATTTTGCATTCCTAAACACTAATTCAAACCTAAATAAGTCATATTCAAGTGCTAAAATATGAATTACATAGATGAATACGAACCCCCCAAATTGTGTATTTAGGTCGAATAGTACCTTTAAGAAAACCCTAAGAATTTTTGAGTTTTAGACTCAATTTCAAGCCTAATTAATATGATTCAACCTCAATTACATGAGTTATAAGTTCAATTTCATTTCTCCTAAATTTTGGTGATTAAGAACTCTAATCCTAATTTTTGACATTTCATGCAACTAAATCAAAATTAAAGTAATTAAACATCAAATTAGCATGAAATTGAACTTCCTTCGGTGTAGGCGAAGTTAACTTACCTAGATATGCTTCGATTAAACTCTAAAAAGTGAAATTTGCAAACTTCTTCCTTCCTTTTTCCTTCCCCAAATTCGGCCTAACTTGAGAATTTTCCCCTTGGAAATTCTTGAGCTCCTAACTTATTTGCCTTACTTTGCTAGATGATTTAAGTTATTTAGAGGTTTTTTTGAGTGGTTTCAAGTGGGAATTTCTAGGGAAAATTTGCAAGAGTCTCCCTTGTTTTTAGCTATTTTTCGGGCCATTTTCTTAATTTCATGCACCCCTATTTATAGACATAATTTGGGTGGAATTTTGACATCGTCTCCACCCTTGAATTGAGATGTTTTAGAGTGATCTTGGCCATTCAATTGAATTGTAATCCTAGCCCTTCAAATAGTTAAATCTTAGACCTTTTATTTTTCTTTAATTCTAAGCCTTCCATCTTGCATGCTTCTTAACCCCTTCTTTTTAACCAAGTCAAAGTACATTAATTAGGGCCTAATCAAGCTGAAATTTTTGAATGGAAGGTGGTAGAAGAGTCCAAAATTTTTCTTTAATTTTAATTTCCCATTTTATTAATCTTTTCTCTAATTACTCCTTCCATCATCCTTTAATTTTTCAACTGATCACTTCAAGTCCTTCCCTTAATGGTATCTTAATAACTTTTAAACTCCTTAGGCTCATAGATAATTTAATTTAGAAGTGCAAACTTTTAATTTTATGCAATTAAGTCTCTAATTTTTATGCAATTAGGTCCTTAATTCTAAAATTTTATTTTACTCTTTTCAAAAATTCAATTTCTTTTCGGAATAAATTCAAACATTTATTAAGAGGATTTAGTCTAAATTTTCATAATTTTTGTACTTCATTTAGGCATCAAAATTAATTATTTAGTCTAAAATTTAAACTAATTCCGACAAAAAATATTCCTTACACTTGATAAAATTAATTTAAATTTATTGGGTACTCCCAAACATCCTATATGCTTTTTCAATGTCCTTAAAAAAAAAATTCCTCATTCTTTTAAAGTATCTAATTTAATTATTCTACCTCTAAAACATTACTCCTATACATAACAATTCAAATAAAACATTCATAACATATTAGAAAATTCATAGAATCATATAAAATAGTTCAACACCCCTCTAACAAATATTCTAAACAAACAAAAATTTTTTCATACACATACAACATGTTTTAAATACTTATTTCATGAAAAACTACTATCTATGCACCGTAAAATCTATAAAATATTCTTTAAGTATGAAAAAACTATTTCAAATATTTTAAATATTCTTTTAAGTCCCTACATTTAATATTTAATTTTTAATTAAATTCTAGTTTTAAGCGGGTACCGATTATTACAACTTAGCAAATGGGAGGGCAAAGAAGCCTATATCCCAACAAAGTATCCTCGTCGCCCTACCAAATGAAAGAAGT